TTGTCAAGTCAAAAAGCCCAGCCCCTGCACCAAGTCTTCACCTCCACTCCTGAGCCCTGTCTCCTCTCACCTCTGCTCCCTGCTCTTCACCGCTCCTCCCCTCTCCTCCCCTCCCCTGTTTATTAGTTGATTATTTACTTAAATTCTTGGGACTATGACGGAAATAATTCTCACCAAAATCCTGTCAAGGTATTTTAAATGTAGAAAAGTGTCCCATCTATAATTATATCAGCCTCTTCTAAATATCGTACAGTGAGATGTATATTGTGATTAGGGGTGGGCATGATTAGTCGATTAATTGATCATTAAGAATTTAATCGATTACGTTCATTTTAATCGACAAACAGAATGTAGGTTGCTGTGTGTAGTGTGACCAAACAGGTCTGTACATGTGTCTCTGCACTCAGAAGGAGCGAGACACAAACAGTGGGTCAGTCTGCAGCGTACCGAAGCACAAATGTGTATTTAATGTTGACTTGTACAAGAAATTCCACGCTTTCCGTTGCGTTCGGGACAAGTGGGAGTCCATGTGCACAGTGCACAAAGCAGCACATATGTTTCTGTGTCCAGTGGGTAAAAAGTTTTACCAGGTGAGAGTCGCGCAATGTCGATGACGAGTCCCCACCTCCCTCCCCCCGTACGCTGTCCAGGTTTTGACAAACGCAAATATGGTCACACTAACCTGTATTCACCTGAGTCATGTCTTTTAATCCAACAGAAGTTGAACTGCATCAGCGACACAAGAGCTGTAGTTTTATCTTCGCTTAGTTTATGCAAATTAGCGATGCGATTTTAAGTTTTGTTTCTGTGAGAGTTGCACAAAGCTGCGTTAAACACATTCTAATGTCAAACGGGCTGATGTGGCTCTAGAGTCGTTACTGTTTATATGTCGTAAAGTTGAATTTATTTATGCAGATTAGTAGTGCAGATAGTAATAATAATGATAATCATTTTAATGTAAAAAAACAGTCATGATTAATTGATAATCGATCTTTAATTCTTCCGAAGATCGATTAAGAAAATTTCATTGAATGCCCATCCCTAATCGTGATGATATTGTACAGAGAGATTTTGATATCGTTACATCCTTAACTTCTACTATTATTAATAATATAGTAATAATAATAATAAAAAATAAATAAATAAAAACGGGCGGGTGGGGTTGGCTTAGACTGCTTCAAAAAAGTCAATAAATGGTTGCCACTTTCTAAAAAAATGTGCTTATGAAAATGCATTTTCGATAGGATTGCGATATATGCTGTAGCTCTAATAGACAGTAGTATTTTCTCTCTCTCCTCTCATTAGAGACACAGCAAGAGAGAGTGTGTGTGTGTGTGTGTGTTGTTGGTGTGTGTACGTGTGAGGAGCAGTGGGAGCAGCTGGATCTCACCTTTATGTCAACAGCCTGTCCCCTTCAGAAGTGCTTTAATAACACAGCGTACATCCGACTGAATCCATTTACCTACATTAGCGTCCTGTGATACAAACACACGCGACAGCTCCAGGTTACTTTATCTGTCTTTCACCATTAAAGGTCCTATACTGCGCAAAATTGACTCTTGTGAGTGTTAAGTCAAGTTATAATGCTGTTAACTGGAGTTGTGTTTAGTTTCATTCACATGTTTGAGGAATCCTGCATTATTAGTCTGTCTATATCTCCAAAAGTCAAAATGCTCTGCTCCACCTTGTGATTTTGTAAAGCATTAGTTTTCAAGTGAACAGCTCTTTTACCTTTAGTTCAGTACAGATTGGCAATTCCAGAGCTGAAATGATCCAAACGATTCTATTGCAATCAAAACTGCACATAGGCTTAGGGAAGGTGCAATCCAAGTGTGGCAAATATGCTGCGTAGAATAGTAATAACTGGTGACTATGTAATTAAAGTGTAATTACTAGTTAATGACACAGTGTAGTAACTATAGGCTAGTGACCAGAAGACAAGGTGCGGCTCAGGGAGAGAGGAGGCAGAGACTGAACTGTTTTTGCTGGTACCATGTATTAAACAAAAGACAATACATCAATGAATACAAGAATGGCCATTCAAACCCAAAATTCAAACAGTTATATAAAGTAGATTATGTGTAGAATGAACAATCGTGTTTGAATGTCCAAGAGCAGGTTGATCCGATTGCATAGATCAAGAGTCACAGTTCATCAGGCATGGCTGTAAATGTGGCACATACGACCGAAGGGGGAGCTCAGAGAGGTAGTGTTCGTGCGGAGTGATAGCGAGCGGTTGGAGAGTTTTTGGTCATAGAGCCAAGTGCGTGGAAGGTGCGAGAGTCTAAACTAGGCTAGGCTAACCATACAAGCCAATGGGGGAATACTAGGACTCGGCGTGGCTTACCAATTCCGTAAAATCGGTGATACACGGCTCGGTTGGGCACTCGAAGGGCGAAGGTATTTGGCTCCTACAAGTTCATATTTAATACGGTAAGTTTGATAACTTGTCATAGCGAAATCAGACGAATTGGGAGTTAAAAAACATACCTGTATCATGCGTTTATTTGTCTCTCTTGCTTCTGCCGCGCTTCCGGGTTTCGCGCTAGTATAGTTTTCTAATTGGGCGCCCGCGGTCACGTGATCGGACGCACACAAAGAGACGCAAAGTGAGAGCAGGAGCGAGGCAAGAGAGTTTCCTACTGCATGGTTTTGTCACCCGCGTTACACAAGCTGCACATAGGCTTAGGGAGTGTGAAAGCAGAACTGCACATAGGCCAAGGGAATGTGCAATTATTGATATTAAAAGAATACAAGAATGCAAAGGGCTAGTCTCTAAAGAATGATTTAAAGGTCCTGTTGGTGCATCACTCATGGTCATACTTGGTCTCGTATCTATTTTTGTTCTGTTTTTGATAAAGCATGTCATCCCCTGTCCCAGGACAAATTTCTCCCATGGAAGACAGTAAAGGATTATCTTATCTTATTGTATGGAGTTTAAAAATGCAGTGGAGCCTTTCCTGTATTACCACATGACATCACAAGGTGGAACAGAGTGTTTTCTGTTTGAGAGAAGGGTGTGAATGAAACAAAACACAACTCTAGGTCTGGTTGTGATGAGGAAACTAAATTAGAACAGATCAGAAAATAGAGTAACATGGGCCCTTTAATCACAGTCAAATGGAAATCTGAATAGACAAAAAAAAATTCACAGAAACTGCCATATTTGAAGCTCCATAATTCAATCTTATTCCACATAAAACTGCTAACCCTGTAGTTTAGATCTGTACAAACATGTTCTGAAATGTGAATCTTACATTAGAGACAATTTCTAATCACAGTCTCGATGCTTGTCAGAGAAATTCCAATTAGTTATTTAAACCGTATTTAAACCAACTGGATTCCTCATTGAAACTGGCAACCCAAATGAGAGACTAATCATTGAAACTGGCAACCCAAATGAGAGACTAATGCTCATTCTGCATTCTGATTAGTGCTTTGGTTCTCCAAGACGATTATCCAAATTCTGTATTATAATCTAAAAAATGTGACATCAGGACTTTTTTTGGTAATTAAGAATAAATCAGTGAAATTGAGCTGTTTTCAGTAAAAGCTGTGTTTGATTTGGACGTGTTTACATCGTATCTGGGGAGAAAGATCAGCCAAGTTAAAAGCACTATCTAATTTCCAGCATGTGTTTGTGTCCATGGGGATAGACTAGGGAGCAGAGGCGGGGATTTGCAAGTCACAACTTGGACTCGGGTCCGACTTGAGTCACTGTTTTTAGGACTTGAGACTTGACTTGATAAAATGGTCTAAGACTTGGGACTCGACTTGGACTTGAAGGTCAATGACTAAATGTTTTTAGGAAATACTTTTCTCTTTACAGTTGATACATGCAGTGCTTAATTTTACTAGAACAAACTGGAACATGTCCCTCCCACTTCTTTGTTTAGTACTTTGGATGTAATTGAAGTACTTCTCAAATGTACTGCAGTAATTTAGAGTACAGTACAGTAAAACAGGGGAACGACAAAGAACGTAACTCTTCCATTTCAGTGCAGACGATTCGACAAAATAACTGTTATTAAGCCCTTTTAAATCTGAATTCTTTCTATTCTGAGCGTAATGATTCACACTAAGATCTTGTCAAGACATTTAAAAAGGAAAAAAAAATTGCATCTCTACAACTCTTATATGAATACTTATATATAAATATACAGTACAATTTAGCTTAAAATTCACATAAATTGCAAAAATCTAAGCTATTTTTGGTACTTTTTTGGTTTAAAGACTTGAAATGACTTGGACTTGACTTGGACTTATGGGCCAGTGACTCGGTCCTCAATTTGGACTTGGCTGTCTTTGAATTAGGACTTGACTCGGACTTGAGTTCGAAGACTTGAGACTTACTTGAGACAAAACAACGACTTGGCCCCACCTCTGCTTGGGGGATTGATTTCCCTGGACTCTACCACAGTACGACATTAAACCTATTTGTTATTTAATTTTAACTGGTAATGGGAAATGGTCACATTTTTCTATAGCGCTTTTCCAACTTCAAGGCACTCAAAGGCTTTACAACAAGGAACCACTCACACATTCACACACCAGTGTACGCAGACACTGTGGGCAAGGTGGGTTAAGTGTCTTGACCAAGGACACAAGGACAGTATTCATCTGTGGGAGCTGGAATCACACCAGCCAACCTGTGGGTCAGTGGATCTGACCACTCAACCTGTGATGTTTATGTCGAAAACTGGATTCGAGCCACCAACCTTCAGATCAGTGGGCGAATGCTCTACCAACTGAGCTACTGCCGCCCCAGTTGTTGTTGTTGTTGTGGTTGTTGTTGTTTTTTTACAATAAAATGATACCTTGAAAAATATGCATTGCACTGCGAGCCCAACTCTCCACAGATCAGACCAGTAAAATGTCTTGCTGCTTGTCTCCATGGAGATCTATCAGTTTCGTATCAAACTGGGAAAAATTCCAGGCACCTTTATGTTGTGGACTGGATCGTAAATGTCATTATTGTAATAAATGTTTGTTCTCCACAGGTCCGCCCCCAGGAAGTGATGTCACGCCACCATCACCGCTTCGAGAGGGACTATCGGGGTCCGTGGGAGCGCAGAGACATTCGGCCCTCTGGCCTGCACAACGGGGGAGCCAATCACAGCTGTGCCTCTGCTGTCGTCAATGGCAACAACCGCCCGGGACTCCTGCCGCTCCCCGTCATCCCCTCCCTCCTGCCCACCCCTGTCACTGTTGCCGTGACAACATCGAGCGGCGACATAGTGGTCAAGCGAGGCATCCCCACAGCAGGATCAGTGGCTCCAGTGTCAGCAAAGGTAAGAGCACTGGTAAATGTACCAGCCTGTTAAAGCCTGTTAAAGCCTGTTAAACCTCGACTCGTCTCTGAAACTCAGGCCTGGTCAGGAGGGCTGTGCAACAATATCAAAGTATCAAATATAGTATCGTGTATGTGATGATATAGTATCGATATTGTGGGCTGCTGTGTCGATATATCGCCAAGAGTATTTTTTTTGTAAATTTTACTGAATTATTTTGTTACAGCTACAGTTTTGTTGTTTGTTTAGTGGAAGGAAACTTGTTTATGCGACACATTTGACATATTTACTGTTTTGATGATTAAAGTGCGTGTTTCATATAGTGTCCTAGGACTCGAGACCATCTTTTACGGTCTTGGTCTTGTCTCAGACTCGAGCACATTTGGACTTAGTCTTGCCTCGGTCTTGAAGACAGTTGGACTTAGTGTTGTCTCGGACTCAAGGTCTGACACTCAACAAGTGCGATTATATTTCAGTTACAGATGTTGCAGTCGGCAATAAACTGCACCGGTGTGTGGGAGTGCGCGGGGCTTCTCACTGCAGCCCGTGTGCTCGTTTGATCTCCATGTGCCAAAATAACTGTAAAACACAAATACAATAAATGTCGAAGATTACAAAGCTGGTTTTGATTTGATCTAGATGGGCTGTGATCTTGGTCTTGTCTTGATCTTGAACCTCAAAAGTCTCGGTCTTGTCTTGGTCTCAACCTTTAAAAGTCTTGATCATGTCTAGGTCTCAACTCAGAGGTCTTGGTCTTGTCTCAGTCTCAACCCTCAGAGGTCTTGGTCTTGTCTTGGTCTCAACCTTTAAAAGTCTTGATCGTGTCTAGGTCTCAACTCAGAGGTCTTGGTCTTGTCTCAGTCTCAACTCAGAGGTCTTGGTCTTGTCTCGGTCTCAACCCTCAGAGGTCTTGGTCTTGTCTCAGTCTCAACTCAGAGGTCTTGGTCTTGTCTCGGTCTCAACCCTCAGAGGTCTTGGTCTTGTCTCGGTCTCAACCCTCAGAGGTCTTGGTCTCGTCTCGGTCTCGGGGCCCTGTGCTCTCGGACAGGTCTTGGACTAGATTAGTGTCTTGACTACAACACTAGTTTCATATTCACTTTGCACAAGAAGTGGTTTAACAAAGACTTTTAGTATCACAGCCACGATTTAGCCTTTATTTTTTATTGCGCCGTATCGAATCGAATTGAAATGATCGTATCGAACTAAAAGCGCACTGTATCGAGATATGTATCGTATCGAGGTACGTGTCGTATCGGTAACTTCTTAATGATACCCAGCCCTACAGATCAGTACATGGATGGGAGACCGCTGGGAAAATCATGTGCCTGTTGTTGTGTCCTTAGGCAAGACACTTCACCTTGACTTCTAGTTTGAACTTGACACGTGCATGAGCGTTGTCGTGTTGGTCGAAAGGGGCAGCCTCAGTAGTCGTTTACCACCACCGTGTATGGAATGAAAGAATACTGCGTCTGTATAAACGCGATGATTCATTTAAAAACGATGTAATGATGAATGTGATCAAATAAATGATGATTCATGAAGAGAGACGTCCAACTGCAGCCGGGGACACCTGCGAGCTTAAACGTCCAGGCTTCTCTACACTTTCTGTTTCTCTGTCCACTTTGCTGTCAGGGATGTCATCCAAATTGAACATCCACTCCTTCCTTCCCTTTTCTGGAGAAGCCTCTCACCACTCTCTCTCTATAACTCCCTCTATTTCTCTTCCTCTCCCTCCCTCTTCTCTGTCTCTCTCCCTGTCTCCCCTTTGTCTCTGGTGGCGTTCGTACAATACTCTGTTTGGTCCAACTCTCTGGCATGTCTGTCTTCATGCCTGAACCGTCTGAACTCCTCTCTCTTTTTTTCTGCTGCTCTTCTCAAACTCCAAATCTCACTCGAGCCAAAACCATTTCACCAGCGATCTGCCAAAATCACCATCGCCTGTTCCCTGTCCACCTCCTCCCGTTTTCATCAGGGAGACAACCTTTGAAATTTGGAGTAACATGTCCAAAATCATGGTACCAGTGCGAGTTCTGTTCCTGACTGTGTGCGCGCTGGTTAAAGCTAGAAGTGCATGTGACGGGTTCATGTTTTTCTATTTTTACTTTGTTTGGTGTTACTATATTGACTTGTTATGTACATATGAAAATGTATTATTATTAGAAGTATTTGGTTCTTTTTTGGCAGTATGATGAGATTTAAAGGTGCACTGTGTAACTTTTCTAATACAGCGTCCACTACTTCGACATGATCTACGTTATGCACTGAAAATTTCTCTGATCTGACCAAGATTTTAAAACTTAGATCAGGTTATTCATCTTCTTTTCAGATTTATTATCTACACAGCAAAAAGTGGAGTGTTAAAATGGACTCTCACAGAATCAACTTTAACATTTTGTCAGAGTTTATATGAGTCCAATCTGTTCTAGAGTTCATTTAACATTTTTGGAAATGTTAATTAAGTAACACTGGACCAAAGTTTCTGTTTAACCCCGAAATCTAGAGTTTTGAGAGTAAACAGATAACACTTTGTAGAGTTATTTTAAAATAACTTATCAAGTAAAATGATCTTGCTGCATGGACAGATAATTTCACAACGTTTAAGTTATTTTCTGATAGATTTAAGTGTTTATATGTTTAAATTTTGGCCAAGCTTTTTGCATTGTGGCATTTAGTGTAACTACATAGCAAAAACTGTATGGTTAAAATTTTAGGGTAAAATATTTCAGAGTTGTTTTTAACACCAAAAGTGTTATTTTATATTTGAAAGTTAAATGGAGGTTCGAGTTGGGGTTATTTGCCAGAGTTGATGTAGTTGAGGTTAATTCAACTTCCTCTAGTGTTAATTTGGCTCCTCCCATTCACCACTTCAAACTCTTGTGAGAGAAGACCAGTTTGAACCAGTTTTGTACATAATTTCATCTTAAATGAACTAAAATAAAGTAAAAATTAAATAAAACGCTTCTGTGTGTTGTTTAGCTAAATCAGGATAACTCTACAAAGTGTTATCTGTTTACTCTCAAAACGTGAATATAATTCTGGATTTTGGGGTTAAACAGGAACTTTGGTCCAGTGTTATTTAATGAACATTTCCAAAAATGTTAAATTAACTCTAGAACAGATTGGACTCACATAAACTCTGAGAAAATGTTAAAGTTGATTCTGTGAGAGTCAATTTTAACACTTCACTTTTTGCTGTGTATCTTCATGGAGACAAACAGTAAGTGAATAAGATCTGAAATTTAAATGTTTATAGTGAAATTTGAACTTCAAATTCAATCAATCAATCAATCCATCATTTAGATTTCACACTTCCTGTTCTGTGTTATATGATTTTGAGGACTTTTCATCATATAAAAGACATCATATTTAGTTATTATATTATATAAGTATTGAATTGTTCATCACTATGGCAACAGTCTTAATTTTGTCTAATGCTGCGTTCGTTTATCCATCCGTCTCACATTCGGGTCTCGGATATGATGTCATGTGACGATTCAACTGTTTTATTATGTTTCGTTAGTCCAGCTTGGAGAAACACGAGGATGCCAACAGGAAAACTGTTGTTGTTTTGGCACTGGCCGAGTACCAGGCTCCAAAATAAGTCTGCGCTTCAACTACACAACCTCCAGGAAGAATCCAGTATAAATAGTTGAATCTAGTATAAATAGTTGAATTCGGTACATTAGTGAAGTGATAATGTTGGTGTCGCCTGATAGTCGATCATTTTGGCACATTAGCAGGAAGTGGGCTAAAAACATGGATACTGACTACCAAACCCACAGTAATACAGACGCAGTAAAGTATTGCAGTAATACAAACACAGTAAAGTATTGCAGTAATACAGACGCAGTAAAGTATTGCAGTAATACAGATGCAGTAATGTATTGCAGTCATACAGACGCAGTAAAGTATTGCAGTCATACAGACGCAGTAAGTATTGCAGTCATATACAGACGCAGTAAGGTATTGCAGTCATACAGACGCAGTAAGTATTGCAGTCATACAGACGCAGTAAAGTATTGCAGTCATACATACAGACGCAGTAAGGTATTGCAGTCATACAGACGCAGTAAAGTATTGCAGTCATACAGACGCAGTAAGGTATTGCAGTAATACAGACGCAGTAAAGTATTGCAGTCATACAGACGCAGTAAAGTATTGCAGTCATACAGACGCAGTAAGTATTGCAGTAATACAGACGCAGTAAGGTATTGCAGTAATACAGACGCAGTAAGGTATTGCAGTAATACAGACGCAGTAAAGTATTGCAGTAATACAGACGCAGTAAGGTATTGCAGTAATACAGACGCAGTAAAGTATTGCAGTCATACAGACGCAGTAAAGTATTGCAGTCATACAGACGCAGTAAAGTATTGCAGTCATACAGACGCAGTAAAGTATTGCAGTCATACAGACGCAGTAAGGTATTGCAGTAATACAGACGCAGTAAAAGGTATTGCAGTAATACAGACGCAGTAAGGTATTGCAGTAATACAGACGCAGTAAGGTATTGCAGTAATACAGACGCAGTAAAGTATTGCAGTCATACAGACGCAGTAAAGTATTGCAGTCATACAGACGCAGTAAGGTATTGCAGTAATACAGATGCAGTAAAGTATTGCAGTCATACAGACGCAGTAAAGTATTGTCTGTCTATTGTAGTGTCTGTGCGTGTCGCTATAGGCAACTTCCTCTGACCTCTGAGTTGGATGGATAAACGAACACAGCATCATTCTGAAACCCTCGCAGCGGCACTTTAATTGTGCACTATGTACATTTTCAGCTGTGGGTCCACACCTGCTTGTTGCTATGGAGCTGTCACTGCTCTGGAATGTTCCACAGTGTGACATTAAACAGCTCTACTTTACATTTATTCAATTACAAGTGGTTTTATAACTCAAAAATACCTAGAAAAA